TGACATGCAGGCCTCATACGACAGCCAACCATGTTTGTGGCCACTGATCTAAAGGACATTGCTCTTTCTGGATACGAACAATCAACCGAACTCTGACCCACTACAGCAGATATTAGCAGTTGCAGCATTGGATGTCAACACTTGGTTTGAAATTAACAGAGCCCTCGTGTTCTAATGTTGCTCTGCTTCTTTTCTTCAAGTAACAACATTGTCCATTAGCAAATGAATGTTGTTGATTTTATGATTTGAAAATAAGTAAAGATTCATTGACTGATTCATTAGAGCAAAGTACAATACATCTTGCTATTAATCCACTGTCTCAGACAACTGATCCATGTGATTCTGATTGAATGCATGAAAAGAAAAGAAGATCACTGTAAGCTATAACAGTCTCTTTTTATTCTCTTTTTCAAACAATCCATTTAAAATTAGCAATCCTCACAAGTACCATTATTATAAAAGGCCACAACATTTACTGTGTGTCATGTTACTGCATATAGTAATAGAAAGGATAAATGAAATTCTAAGTCAGATAATATACTATTAATGAAGGCTATTGTAACAAACCAATTTGTAATATGTAATATTCGATGGATTCCCACACACAAAGACAGGTTTATTCTTTTCATTCATTTACTGTATATCATATTTAATGGTTTCACTGTCTCTCTGCACTCCAAATTCCAAACTCAAGTATCTTCTCTGATCTCCAGTCTCACTTGTGATCTCTCTTTCTGTTTGTCTACCTCTGCTTACTATTCTCAAGTGGTTGCATTTTAATTTTTGGTTACTCAAAACATCCTTTTGCCTGAGTTACCACTATAGACACTGCGGTGGTTACAGCATTTTAAAAAGCCTAGCTGTGTTTGTGATACCTTGATGGCTTTCTCACACCATCAGAGGATTAAACTGAATGCATTTTGATTTGACAGGTGGCTTCTTTTCAGACTGCCTGGGTGACCTCCGTGCTGAGACTCTCCACCATGTTGGACACTGCGTCGGGGATTTCTTGGACATCCCCACTCAGGTTTATGTCCTTTTTCAGTTCAAAGTCACCCTGCTCCTTGGTAGGTGTCTCCTCTGGCTTTTCAATACCATTAACACATTCCTTTGTTGGTGTGGGAGTAGAATCTGTGTGCTCTCCATTCACAGCTGGAAGCGGATCCACTTCTGCTGCATCCTCTAAAACGCAAGGACTTTCCAACTCTCCATTTTCCATCTTGCTTTCTACCTCAGGCTCTGCAGAAGGCACCTCTTCCCCAGATGCTTTGACTACCTTTTCAGACTCTGCAGTAATTTCGCTGATAAACTTTGACATGACAATCTCAGGGACAGGTTCTGCTGCTTCTGGCTCAGCTGCTGCCTCAGCGGTAGAGGCTTCTGTTGCAACAGATTCTTCCTCTTCAGGCTTATAAGCGGGGACCTCCTCTACTGCCTCAGGTGCTTCTGCTTTTGCTTCTACAGTCTCAGGCTGAGTAATGTCAGATGGCACTATGACTGGTTCTGGTTCAACTTGTTCCTCTACTGCAAGTTCCACTGCATCAGCCTCCTGCTCAGGCTCCAGTACTTGCTGTGGTTCTGGCTCTGGTGATTGTTCTAGCTCTGGCTCTGGGAGTGTCTCTGGTTCAGGTTCAAACTTGGGTGCCTTCAGCAACTCTGGTTCTGGTACCTGCTCTAGTTCTGGCTCTGGTACTTGCTCTGGCTCTAGTACTTGCTCTGGCTCTGACTTGAGGGCTTGATCTGGGTCTGGGATTCGCTCCAGCACTGGCTCTGCAACTATTTTGATCACTGACTCAGGTTCAGGGACAGCGGCAGGCACCACTGTCTCCTCCACATTAGCTTCTGGCTTAGTAACAGTCTCTGAGGTGGGCTCTGGCTCTTCAGGTGCTTCCTCTGTACTGGCTGGAATAGGTTGTGGCACTGACTCCATAGCAGAAACACGTTTTTGTGCAGGTAGTTCTTCAGGTGCAGCTGCAGGTTCAGGTTCAACCTCACTTTGAACAGGTTCTTCTGATGATGCAGCAGAAAGTTCCTCTGCTGCTGCAGCTGTAGCATCTGAGACCTCTAATGGAGTTTGTTCCTTTAGTACTGGGGCCGACTCCTCTGTGGCTGAAGAGGATTTCTCTGCTACAACTGGTCCTTCTACTACTGGAGCTGGTTCCTCTGATGGCTTGGCTGGTTTCTCTACTATTGGAGAAGATTCCTCAGCTACTATAGCTGGTTCTTTTAAAACTGGAGCTTGTTCCTCTGCTGCTGTGACTGTTTCCTCTATTACTGGAACAGATTTTTCTTCTGGTACAACTGGTTCTTTGAGTAATGGAGCTGCTTCCTCTGCTGCTGGAACTGATTCCTGTACTGATGGAGGCTTTTCTGGTTCTTCTGGAGGTGCTGATCTGGGCTCTTCTGGAGCTTTTACAGGTTCAGTTACTGTTGCCACAGCTGACCCCACAGCTTCCTCTGTCCCATTGTCTGCCCCAGCTGTGACCCCTGCTCCTGTGGGTGGGGCTTCAGCCTCCACTTTTGCAGACTCCTCTGCACTAGCAGCTGCAGTCTCATCCTTCACTTGTTTGGGGTCACTCACATCGTATCCCTTTCTCTTCCTGCTCAATTTGCCTCCCATGATGTTTCCTATAGAAACAAGTGGATAAAAGTGTCATATCATATGAGAAATTCAATATGTCTATATTGACCTGTCTTTTGAACATGTTTAAAATCCATTCCAAAACAAACAATACATATGAAGTCCTCATTAAAAAGCTGGATGGGTTCAAGCAACAGTGCTAACCAGTGACCCACTATGCCACCCGATCATAGAGTTGATTAAATTAATTTACACATGTGTACATTTACTTGGAGATTTTTAACAGCACTCATGAACATCAGGAATGTGTTTTGCTGTTTGGTAAAACTAATTTAAATGCATGGGAACCTTACATAGAATACACAACCTTACAGACTCCACCATTTCAAGAATGTCTGGTAAGTGCCAAGTGGCCCCACAGTTCTGAGCTGAACATCGCTTTCATTTTATGGATTTTTAAATCTGGTTTTATTTTTGTCTTGATATTTATTATTTTATTTCTTGATGTTTTTCTTTGACTTTCTTTGAAAACACTTTGACTTGCCTTTGTGCTTGGAATGCGCTATATAAATAAAGCTGCCTATGATGTAGATGTACAGCTCTTCCTCTCTCAGTGTGACAAACTACATAGTAGCAGTGAGTCCCGTAGGATGCATATAGAGCCAATCCAGAGCCTGAAGTTACATTCACATAAAACATCTAAATTGCAAACTTGATCTGTGTAAAACCATAATAATCACCTTAATGCATTCTGGTAATGAAGCAAATATATACAGACATGTACAGCAGTTCTTTGTGCTAATGTGACAACACTGTTGTGGCTGTAGAGGAAGAGCCAGTGATTTCCAGTGTTCATTAACAAAATGGAGAACTGGAAGTGCAGCTTTATCTCACTGATTGTGTTTCAGCTGACCCAGAACAAATCAACATCCCTGAATATAATCTAAGTGGAAAAAGAGCCCAGAAATGCAATGTTTCTTCATAGATTCCCCAAATTGTTGTTCAAAGTGTCAAAAGCAGGGCTTGTGCCCTATGAAGCGCCATGTGGATACAGGTAACACTCCTGGAACTGTCCGTAGTGCTGCAATGGAGCAATCTAGACAGGATGCGCCACAGGCCAGGCTGGTGAGGGCTGCATATCCATTACAGATTTACTGTCAGTTAGTAAAAAAAAATCACGCTTCTACAGTAACACCAGTCTAACTCTGCTTTAGATCTACCTTCAACAAACTACACAGCGTTTTTATGTGGCTGATTTCTTATTTGCTTGTTTTCTCGTCAAATCCCAGCTGGTGTCTCCAGCCTTCAGATCGGACAAAGCAAACAAAAAAATAAAAAGAAAGAAAGAAGAAAATTACAGTTTGAGGAGAAAACCTCCTATTTTTAGACTGAATCACTGTGGATTTGCACAGACAATTTGTCACCACAATTTCCTAAGAACTACTAATGTAAAATATAGCCTAGACACCGATTTAGAAAGATAAAGGAGACGTAGGCAAAGGTAGTCAGCGTGTGTCTGCTGGACACAAAGGATGGAGGTTTCTCCTCGTTGTCACTCGCCGATAAAAGTAATGGCTTAGCTAAATTGGCAGCAAATTATTGCCAAGCTATTTTATAGTGTATTCCATAGACAACTATACAGAGGAATTGTACACTGGCCACAACACTTCAGCGATAAAGCTCCAGAGGGGTCTCCATCCCCCATTTCAACCCACCCACCACTGCTTCTCTCATCTGCTGTGATCTTTTTGTTCACGGGCATTTGAAGATGTCCTACTTACTGCCACGACAAAGACAACGAAATTCATCACAACCACACGTCGATACCTAGTAAGCATCTGCTACAACTTAACAACTTTGTTTGGCGCAGTTTTTAATCCCAGAAGGTCTTTAATCGCCCGGCGACTTAAAAACCAGCGCTGCTGTTGCTGCTGGCTGAGAAGACGCACTACATCAAATTCAGCCACTGAGAACGAGGGGGTTCAAATCCTGGATTGAAATGTATGAATTTGCATAACTGGAGAAAGGCAAACAGAGAAAGAACAATGGGCTGCAGCGCTCAGGATTCTTTCTTTCTTTCTAGCCTATATATATAATCTTGTGCACGATTCAACAAAAAAAGGCATACATTAGAATAAATAAAATAAAACTGCTGTGATTTGACTGACCTGTAGGCGATTTCCAGAGAGCGACCAGTTGGGCTCCTTTCCAAGCTCCGACTAGATGTGACAAAGGAGCTAAACCTCTAGTGACAGCTGCAGATTCCGCCCTTGCTGCAACTGAGGAGTGCCCCTCACAGTTTTCTGGACATCTGTCGCTATCACAATCCAGCCTGCCCCGTCTGCAATCTACACCCTCCCAGGCTTTAACCCCTTGTCTGCCGCACGCAGCCTCTCCATCGTATATTTCTCTGGTGTAGGTTAACCTTTAAATAAACACAACTGGGAAGTAAAGTGATTTTAAACGGACTCTGCTCTTTGCCAAAAAGTAACGCCTGTAGAAAATCACATTAGGGAGTATCACTGTGATATAAATTATGCATAGGGGGCATTATTAACACCACACACACATACGCACACACACAGTTTTTTGCAGGATACTCACTGTCGTAATTATATACCATTACTGCTGTAATCTGCTGAGCATCAGTGTTTGGACTGTGGGCTTCTGAATAAGAAATCTTATCCATGAAACATTACAAAAATACAGATTACAGGAACAGGCTGCCGGGCTTTAACTTAAGGTTCCCTTTCTTGTTAAGAATAGTAAAGAACCAAAAGTTCACTCTAACCATTGCAAAGTATTTTGATGCGTCGTGCCTCTTTGCTATTTGCCTTCTATGTGTTAATGAGGCAACACTGGTCCGGGGGATGAGAAATCCCATAACTAACCCTTCCAGGTAAACAAGTTGTCTATCAGCAACTGACCCATGCCACTGGCACATTGCTAGCTATCATTTTGTAACCTATATTAATCAAATGACGTTTAGGCAGAACTCTAGATTGAACTGTTCTCCAGTAATTTGAACATTAATCTACAAGTTAATTAATTGCAGGTGACAAACAAACAGTGTGCCTCAGTGTGTGTAACAAATGCATTTTTGAAAATGTATATGTTTTATATTATTTGTGTTTTTATATCTTTTCATTGTGCATAACAGTAACATTTCTCTTACATGTTCCCTGCTGGATGTGACACATCCAGTGATTTTCATAGTGTGGAGAGACTTTTCTTTTCTTTGCCCCTCTTTTTGTTCCCATTTGGAGATCTCTGAATAAATATATTTATCACTCGTGTTTTACAGAATGAATACCAGACAGATGTATTATTGAGGAGACGGCACCCCCTCCTGTTACAAGAGCTGGTATCACAACACAGTGTCTATGGAGAAATCTTGTTGGGTTTTTAAAATAAAAATGATGCACAATCTGCAATGGGCTGGCGACCTGTCCAGGGTGTACCCCGCCTTTCGCCCACAGCTGGCTGGGATTGGCTCCAGCCCCCCGTGACCTCGTTTGGGACTAAGCGGTTTAGAAAATGGATGGATGGATGGATGATACACAATAAACTCTTTAATAATGGCACATTTGTACTGTCTTATGCAAATATTCTGTTAGTTAGCTCATTTGTGAGATATCGAGTAAAACTATGTGTGGCTTGTTGTCAGTGGTATCACAAAAAACCCAGAAGAGTATAGCCTAAGAAAACATCTAAAGAAGAACTGTAACTGTCAGGAATATTGAAAAACAACTTCTGTTATTTAGTTGATCTTATTAGACCAAAGTCTTGAACTGTACGGTATAAAATGTTTTGCTGTCTCTGCTTTCCAAATGCCACAAAGTACTAGCTTCTAACAATAAAACCAAAACAAAACAAAGAAAAAAAAAACCACAATTAACCTTGTTTGTTTTCCTTATTGCATAGCTAAATAGTGACAAAGGGGCCATAAAGGCTGAGTTTCACATGATGCAACAGCTCTGGAATGCATTCCCAGGAGTACAGCTGCCATCTGAGCTAACCACTCTGCTCCACGTAGACAGATCACTCACAGACAAATAGGGAGGCCTTGGAAAAACTCCCACAGTTATCACCATGTTAAATTAATGGTAATCTGTCGGTAACCCCTGGCCACAATGACCTAGACTGACACAAAGACCAATGAGATAGAGAAATAAAGAAACAGGTGTTGGGGGCTGCAACACACTATACAGGTCAACAGCTCACCACCAGTGTAGGTGCAGGGATGTTTTAGAGCGCTGCTTGCATGGAGTTCCCAGTACAAGGAAGGAGACACCCTGGACAGCTTTTGATATGAATGCTACTCACCAACTGAAAAGGTCAGCAACAAAATAAGAGTGACACTTACACACCAACTCACCAGCTCAAATAAACACGAAAAAGAGCCGGCTTGAAACTGCAGCTTGTTTCCTAGTGGTCAAATACAGTAATCGGCCTGTGTGAAAACATCCACAACATCTCATTCCAATACAATCACAGTTGGAGTCTTATGGTATTACATCTGTGGTAAATAGGGATGGGGCAATATGACTTTTTATCGATACAACTCGATGCAAAATATGGTGTGTATGATTTGATTCAATCATGATACAATTAAAAATTCAATGACAACATATGACAAGCTGCGGAATACTTGTACTTTATTCCTCTTCTCCCCCTTTTCTAGCACTGGTTTGATTATGCAAAGTACAACCAGATTTATTGACTTACGTTTTGTTACACTATCTTATTTTTAAAGAAAATATGAAGTCGCTGGTATATGGAGACCACATAGATATTGCTAGAAAAAATTATGCATATTGTTTTTGTATCGCAATATATTGGATTTCGATATATTGTCCCATCCCTAGTGGTAAACAGTAGGTAGTTTTCTAGGCCTTTGAACTAATTAACATAGCGGAATACAGTTATTATCAGTGGTGTTCTTGACGTGATGAAAAAGGTCAACAAAGCCACTGTAATATTTTCAGAACTGTTCTTTATGGACAGCAGTTTTGGATATTGTATTATCCTATTTTTCATAATGATTTGATCTGATCTAAATGAACACCATAAAATGATAACTATAGTGACATAATAGGCTTGCTTTCAAATTCCACAAATAGAATTTCAGTCAAATAGTGGAGGACAGATTTTGCCCGTTCAGTTTTCACCATAGTATGAATAGCACCATCTACTGGAGAGTCATTATTTCACAGCAGTAGTGATAGTCATACAGGTATCTACACAAAACATGAAACAATTTTACAATGGTCATGTTACCAACAATGTCACCTTTGATGCACGAACTCTGTTCACAATATATTCATTCACCAGTCAACCTAAGCTGCATGTCTTTGGACTGTGGGAGGAAGCCGTAGTACCTGCAGAGAACCCACACAGGCACAGGGAGAACATGCAAACTCCAAACAGAAAGGCCCCAGGTCAGCCGGGGCTCGAACCAGGAGCCTTCTTGCTGTTAGGTGACAGTGCTAACCACTCAAGGTGTGTAATATTAGACTCCCACTCAAGCCCCACTTTCTTGCTTCTCCCTGCATGTGGTGAAGACTAGCAGAAGTACAGATGTGCTTTAAGAAAGCTCTAAATGGTAGCTGAATGAACTGGCCATGCAGTGCTTAGCTAGTAAAATGAAGCATGCATGTTCAGGCATTACACGTTTAATCCACATTGAATCACACATGACAAAAAGCTGGATATCACACATTGGTCTCCATGAGCTGTTAAAGGGAATAATGTCATATCCTCACTTTGCCTATTTGGGATGCCAGAGGCTTCACCACAAAAAATGCCCACCTCTGTCAAATCACCTTTTTCATATAAGTTGCAGTAGCCTACTTATGCAATGTATTTCGTTGTAATGATAACTGAAGCAGTAATAACCCCGTGCAGAGGTGCACCATGGGTGATTGCGCGGCGTAGCTGTTAACAAATGTAACGTACCCTTGGCCACTTGGATGAAGGCGGTGCTAGTGGTGCCTAAGCAGCAGGGCCTTGCCTTTGTGGTTGTAGAAAGAGAAGATGGCTCCCGTTCTGGAGAAACAGCTCACGGGTGCAGCCGGGGCAGGCGACCAAAACAACGAAGAGGAAGAAGGACAAAACCTTTGGCAAGTTATGCAGTTGTAGCGACTTCATGTCCGCGGAGACCCCTATCGGAATAGCACAGTCGCTATGGTTGTGCTTTGTCACTGCCAGTTGGTCCCAATCTAACACCGGCCCGGCTAGCAGTAACATTAGCACTTAACAGTTAACTGGAGCTGGGCGGTCAGTGTGCTAACGTTACTTCTGTTTGCAGCTCAGCTAACTGGGACATTGCTGATTAGCTGCATTGCAGTTAGCCAAGATGGCCCATTAGCGAGTTTTACCAGTCCAGCGAGTCTTGTTAAATTAACGAGTCCAGTTTGAAAGAGCCATTTATAGTATCAGGAGCTTTTGACAGTTCATGCCAGTTCATGCCAAGTCAATAGCTAAGTGCTAGTTCCTTTATGCAGGGTACAACAAGCTAACATGATTAACATAGCGTTACATTTTAGCAAGCATACCATATTCTTACCAAAGTTAACGAACTGTGCCGAAAAGTAACGTTAATGATGGCTTTACTTAACGTTTATCATTGGGGATGGTACTGTTACTGGGCTGAATCCATTAAACCTGCCAGGTTTAATGGATTCAGACCCTAAGCTAGCTAGCTTTACTTTTCCTAGCCTACCGGCCAGTGGGGATGATTTGTCATTTCCTGTTTTTGTGTTGTGGTGGACACATCACAGGGTCAGCTAAAAATACTAGCATTACAAATAATCGCTGTTAATTATGTAACGCTATCGTTACCTGAGCAGTTATGGTTTTGGTAGCAAGTCAGATTCTGAAATGTAGAGCTGCCAGTGCGCCGCTTGACTGTCAGTCTAACGGCTTTTCTCAATATGTCTTGTTATTGTAGGTCCTCAATACTGAGTGAAGTCTCGACTAGATCGAGTTCAAAGTTGCCATCAGGGAAGAATATCCTGGTATTTGGTAAGTATTACATAAACCACATGTGTGAAAGCATGCTTGTGCAGGACCTGCAGTGTATTTGTGGCGGTCAACCTTGAGGAGAATGGAGACCTGCAACATGGCACCAAAGTCACAAAAGCTAATGACTGCACAGTAAAACCTTTCTGATTTTCTGACATTTTCAGCTGACTGCTAACTGCTGTTATTGTACTTCTGGTTAGAGGCTAACGTTGCCTTGTACTTGTACATGTGTGATGACAAAGTTTGGTCTAATCTAATGAGACGAAATTTTTCTCTCTCTCTCTCTCCCTATATATATATCATATCTACAGTGGGTATGGAAAGTATGTCATAACTGATGAATACAATATTTTGCAGGCGAGGATGGATCAGGAAAAACAACACTTATGGCCAAACTTGAAGGAACTGATCACAGCAAGAAAGGAAGGGGACTGGAGTATCTGTACTTAAGTGTTCATGATGAGGACAGAGATGGTGAGTTTACCTGTTTATTTTTTCTTTTTTTTTTTATAGAAGTAGCTTTTACAAAAGAGCAGAACTTTTAAACAACAATTATGTCACTTGTATTTAACTAATGTATTGTAATTCCTTTGCAGACCAAACTCGCTGTAATGTGTGGATCCTAGATGGGGATGTATACCACAAAGGCCTACTTAAGTTTGCCGTTTCAGCTCAGTCACTACTTGACTCTCTAGCAGTGTTTGTTGCTGATATGTCAAGACCCTGGACCATTATGGAGTCACTGCAAAAATGGGCCAGTGTGCTACGTGACCATGTGGACAAGCTCAAGATCCCACCTGAGGACAGGAGGGAAATGGAGCAGAAGAGTAAGCAACAGTTAACTTTATGTATAATTTGCGTTGTGGATGGTATCAAAATGAAACATCCACATTAGTACAATTTGTGTACTGATAATGAATACAAGACCTTTTATTTTGAACATTTAACTCTAAAATTGTGGTAGTTGTCTACTGCTCATATATCCAAAATCTTATTTTTAGGCTGTCCAATATTAACCCTAAATCACTCAAAATGAGAATATTTACACTTTTATCATGTTGCTAACCTGTTCTGTCATTGAATATTTGGCCAAAGTCAAATGAACATTAAAATGATAAGACTGAACTGAATTTCGTCAATGGAGTGATCCCTAAGTTAAAATGCTATGATTAGAAGTAATTAGCATAGGTAGCATAGCATCTACTTTGTTTTGTTAAAGAAGACTAGTAGCATTGATATAAGGTGATTTGTAATGAGGTGGCCCATTTATGTCTCAACTGGCAAAAATCTGAGAAATAAATAAATTGAAATATGACATGCATACATTTAGTTTAATTGTATGTTTGCATGTTTTTCCTGTGCCTGCGCGGGTTGTTTGTCTACACGTCATCTCTGTTATGTACCTGCGACATGTCCAGGGTGTGCCCCGCCCTTTGCCCAGTGTCAGCTGGGATTGGCTCCAGCCCTCCACCAACCCTGTTCAGGAATAAGCAGTATAGATAAAGGATGGATGTTGTTTGGTGCAAGGTATTTTTCATAGTGTCAGGAATGATTAGAAAACAGGCCAACAGATTTTTTTTTTTTTTT